CAGCGGAGATGGAAAGGGAAGACGGGTCCAGACCGTTTCGTTCGCTCCGTCTGATGCTGGTGCTGGGCTGCTGTGATGTGCCGAAGAAAGGTTGATCTGTGCAGGTAAAGTGATGTGCACCCGCGCGCGGGCAGGCGTGCGGGGGGGGAGGACAGTCAGGTTCTGTTTTGGAAATTTAGAGGACGGGCGGGAAATGAGTAAGGTGTATTCTGCGGATGTTTGTAGAGCTCCGAGTGGTTGTGAGTGGTTTGCTGGTGGATGGTGTGAGGCGTGGAGAGCTGCGGCGGAAGGTTTTGAGAGTCGTGAAGTGACGGCTCTGCATTTCGAGAGTATATAATGTTGAGTCATTGGCTGATTCATTCCCATCTCTCTGGTTGTTTCCGTTGATGCGTGTGAGATGGCGGAGGTTCATTTGTCGATGGTATTGGTTGTGGAGGGGGTCGTAATGTGGATGGGTAAGATGAAGTCGCGGTTTTTGAGACCGTTGACAGGTGTAGAATTTAATGAAACTGCCTTGGGCTGATTCTTTAAAGACTTTCGTACCGATTTGCGATGATTTGAGCAATTTTGCATGAGTTTGTGTGCGTGAGAATTTTTGATTACTTTTGATGTGCATGTTTGTATCACGGATTGCTCGCGACAATTTTGGCTCGACTTCTTCACACCATAGCATTTTGTATTAACGAGTGCATTACTCTAGATCATGAAAGCGTGTAAGGCAATGAAATTTGTCGGAAAAGCGAATTTATTGAGTGAATATGCCCGTACAGTAGCTATGGATGCCATGAGACCCTCTAGACCTTCGCGCCCTGAATGTACCGCCCGGATGCTAGAATCCTGAGATCTCGTAATTGAAGCTTGCTATGTAGTAGGAGATGAAACTACCTGTTAATAAAAAGAAATAGAGATGGTTTTTCTGTACTAGTTTGGATCGGGAAATGGGGATAGGTGCCGGTAGACACAAACTTGAGGCTATCCGGTCTCGCATTTAGAAAGCAAAAGTAGACGAGCAAGTTTCTAAGAGGCTTTAAAAATCTAGAAGCCTGCCTAGACTCATAGACCGCGCAATTCCATGGCGGTTGTGGGAAAGAACCTTGCCTTACGACACAAGGGGTATGTGCCCCCAAACGCGGTTGACGAGAGCCCTGCTAAAGCCAGGCAATTGCAGTTTAGGAAGGATAAGGTATTAGGCAGTAGTAATGCTGATCCAATTCCAAGGCTATGTATTATGATGGCTTACTTATTAGCTCTATCCCCTCACCGTGCCATAGTCGCTCTACTCTCAGCCGTCTAATTCAGGGGCCTGGCAGCCTCGCCGTTGGCTATGCTTTTCCCTCCATCCATCCTGACAACATCAAAATTCCTCCAGTCGCTTGTCCCTTCTCGGCAAGCTTTCATATACGGCGGAATGCCGCCGACGTAGTTGAGCTGTTCTCTCGGCTTACCCGGTATGTTGGCGCCGAGGTACCACGAAGAGTCATTTTTCCGGAACAGCGTTGCCTCGTTCATGGATAGAATCAACTTTTTCCACTGCTCTTCTGCATCGCGCCGAGGCTCGATGGACTTGACGTTCTCATTACGCAGCTTGGCTATGAAGTCCGTGATGAACTCGACTTGCTGCTCAATAAAGGGTGGGGCGTTCGTGAGAGCCGTGGGTGCTGTTCAAGAAATCGTTAGCTTGGCTATCTTGACGTCTGCTAGGTTGGAAGTTACCTTGAGGACCGTATATCATAAACATATTCGGACATCCCCTGACCATGAGCCCGAGATACGTCCAAACACCACTCCGCCACCGCTCCTTCATGTCAACACCATCTTTCCCTCTCAATCCCATGCTTGTCAGGCTACCCGTGCAGTTGTCGTAGCCGGTCGCGAGCAAAATAATACCATGCTCCCTCTCCGTCCCATCCTCCGTCACGATACCCCTTTTCGAGAACTTCCGGATGGGGTTCTTCTTCACTCCGACAACATCGACATTGTCCTGGTCAAGACACTCGTAGTAGTCCTGCTCCAGGCTGCTCCTCTTCGTCGCAAAGGGGAACGGCGGCTCCTCCGGCACCACGATTGCCCTCTTCGCCAGATCCCGCACCCTCGGGCCCGTCTTTTTCTTCCAAAACTCGTACATGGACCGATTCGCCTTCTCGTCGATCAAGGAGTCCACGTAGTTCCCCGCCTGGAAGTTGAAGCCCCCTCGGTGCCACAGCTCCTCCCAGAACGCCTCCCTCTCCTGCTCCGAAGCCTGCGCCGCCACCTTCGTCGTCCCGTCGCACGGCAGCCCCGGCATGCTCTCCCTCGCAGCCCTGAACAGGATCCCATACACCGACTTGAGCTGCCGCTGCTCCATCTCCGTCATCTCCCGCTGCACCATCGGGAGTGCAATGTTCGGGTTGCGGATGTACACCGTCAGCTCGACGCCGTCCGCCTTCGCAATCTCCTGCACGCACTGCACCCCCGTCGCCCCGGCCCCGATCACCGCAACCTTCTTCCCCCGAAAGTCGATGCCTCCCTCCGGCCACGACGCCGAGTGCACCACAACGCCCTCAAACTCATCCATGCCCTCAAAGCTTGGTTCGTACCGCTTATTCGAGCTCCCCGTCGCCGGAATCAGAAACCTCGCCGTGATCCTCCGCCCCTTATCCGTCATCACGCTCCACAGCCCCGTCTCCTCATCAAAATCAGCCCCGACAACAACAATCCCGTAGCTCACATCCCGCGAGATGTCCAACACAGCGTCCACGTGCCGGAAGTACCGCTTGATCTCCTCGTGCCCGGGGAACCGCTGCGACCACGCCCAGTCCTTCCACACCTCCTTCACCGAGAGCTGGTAGTACGGCGCCTCGGAGTCGACGCGCGCGCCGGGGTACCGGTTCCAGTGCCACACGCCCCCGAGCGCGGCGCCGGCCTCGACGATGTGCGCGCGCAGCCCGAGCCGGCGGAGCTGGTGCAGCGCGTAGACGCCCCCGAACCCGCCGCCGATGATGAGCGCCTCGTAGTCCATTTCCGCGTCCGGTGTGCTGTTGACGCCACCGTTTCCGTCGCCGCCGAGGCGGCGGCGGCGGGTCTTGTACGGCTGGGCGATGGAGCCCATTTTGCCGGCGTCTAGTCAGGTGGGAAGTTAATCGACGGTCGGATCGAGTCAAGTGGAAGAGAGTTTGGAGAGATAGGAGTCAGGTTGGTTTTGAAAGGGGAAGGAACGCGACTCAACGTGAGAGATGAGTCGAATTGTGAGGGCTGGGTGATTGGGTGGCGAGTTCAGACGGTGGGTTTTGGGTTTGTGCTGGAGGGCATGTCTGAAGCTGTGGTCTCTTTTCAGTCCCATGTTTTTCTCCTCACCCGCCCACCGGCAGATAGACCTGGAAACATGGAAACACGGAAACATGCTAACATGCCAAGTAGGGAAGTCGGGGCACCTCGTATGAGGCCTACGTGCCTCCGCGGAACCCTTGCTCGCGAGTGTCGTTGGTTCCCTCACGACTCTGCCGAGAGTCTTGGGTGCTCAGGGGAGAGATCCTACCGATTCATCAATGATCGACAGAGGAGCTTGGAGTTTTGTTTGAAACGGATCGTGGCAGTCGGGGAACCTTGCCGGCGTTGCATCGCGGGGGGCTGGATGGGTCCATGTTGGTTCTCGCGGGGAAGATGATGGCGACTTCCGCTCTCCGAGGATATGCAGGTCATGCGCGACATCCCATGGTGATTAGTCGAGGCCACCGATAGAGCAGGGTTGGAGCGGTCTGGAGGTTGGAGAGTTTGGGTAAGGCTTTCCCCTGGCCGATTATCTGTGCGATTCAAAGCAGTTTGTAAGCGGTATTCTATCACGGCGATGCGCTTTCATGGTCAAGAACTTAGTGAAACATTGGAGTAGTTCCGAGCATGGGATGAGGCTCTTGTTCCTCTGCTGCTAGGGGCTCGTATCTGGAAACGCTGGATCAAGAGATCACGCTGTGCCATTGACTGATCTCAACAAATGCGGGAACACCAAGCCCACCATGCCAAGTGGCGTGAGACTTCGGGGCGTTCGACTCTGTTGAAAAAGGACCAAACACTGCCTCCACCAGCCCGGTCAGCGTCTTAGGAGGATAGATTGTCGGAAGCAGACACCTTTACTGCCGAAGGCATGAGGAATGATTCTTCCTTAATGCTAAAGAATGTATGAGGTCTTTTTCAGTGAAGGTTTGATACCCGGTAAACGCCGTGCAGAGTTGCGATTATGTCATGTCTGACTCCCAGCTTGGCTGCCTGGAACTCTGTGATGACCTCCACGTTGATACCCCAGCACCCGGAGAAACACTCAGCAAACCTGTGCCTCAAGTGACAATTAGAGATTGAAAAAGGCTGGAGGCAGTAAATCAAAATTGGGAGATGCGCATCTCTCATCATGCCGGCCAATGAGGTCGCTTGGTGGTTGACGGCCTCCTGCAGCACCAACAGGCAACACACCGCTACAGTGACGAAGTGGAAGAACAAAGCCAGGACGAAGGTGGTTTCAAGACGTGGAAAAATTGATCTTCCCACAGGCTTCTTCTTGCTGAGGAGAACAAAATACACTTCTTAAAGACCTCCTGCATTGTGCACATGCTTCAGTTGTGTCGATAGGTCTCAGGGGAAAGACTCACAGAAGTGGCTTTGGAACCTGCAGCAATTTGTGAATACGAGCATCATCCAAAGAACGTTCCCAATTACCAATCCGGAAGGAGGGCTGAAAAGTCTGCTCGGTCGACAACAACCGGCCTCTTCCATTGACCGCTGCCTTGCTACCTTACCACCTCACCACCTACACATCCTCTGTCTCTTGTCACCTTCTCATCTTCCCCTCTCATCCACCGACCGCAAACTGAAGATTCTTCATCTTTTGGTTATCTCTACGTCCTGTATCACCACAGCCTCCCACTTTTGAGGTTCAACCTGGAAGTAGTGCTTATCTTACCCATCTGGCAAACACCCAGCAATCTCCGAGGATATTGTGCCTGCCCTCAACAGAATTGGTATCGACATCAACCATGGCGACCGAAGAGGGCCCGACTCTTGCGGCTCTGAAGTCATGGAAATCATCATTGAGTCCTCTCAGAGTCGATATCGTCGGTGACTTCGCCGGGAAGGAGCTCTTCGCCATCCATGGCGAGTCGCTCGTTGCCCACTGCGTTGTGCAGGCCAAAGCCGACTTCAAAGGTTTGTCCTTTTTCATCTCTTTCCCAAAATCATCGGATTTTCTTCAATGAATTTTCATCGCTAATGGTTACATAGATGGCTTTCAACTACTCCACGCGGTTCATGCCGTCGAGACATTCCTCAGCAAGCTGCAGGAGCGCGGTTGCAACTTCCATGTCCTCTGGTTCGACAGCCAAGAGCAGCTTTGCGTGCCGCACGATGTTCTCGAGAAAAACCGACACAAGTACCTGTTGACGCGTGCCGTTCTCATGGAGCATCTGCGCACTCCGAAGCCCCGCGAGCAAAAGACCAGAAATCCTTGGACGGAAGATTCGTCAGACGATTCGTGGGATGCTTCGACGGATCCTCCAACGGACCCCATCAGGAATGGAACACCCATGAGCTTTGTTTTCTCTACCATCCAAAGCAAGGAATTCGAAGAGTACATGGAGAAGAACTGTCTTCACTTCGTGATGTGTTCTCAGGGAAGCGACTTCGACTCGACGCCTGAGGTGAACGACGGCGTCGGTAGCGGCAATCACCTCAAGGCCATGCGTTTGTTCGCCGACCAGGGACACAACCTCGCATTCATGGATGATATTGAGTTCCGGAGTTCCAAGGTCAGTGCTCATTATCCGGAATTGCCCAAAAAGCATGGCTGACAGTGAAGCAGGTCTACACTCATGTCGTCACGTCGGCGCGTTCCGAAGATCCCATCGAAGTGACTGAACCCGCGCCCCGCAGCATCACGACTGATGGGTGGGTCGAGTTTGCATCGAAAATCGACGACTGGTCGGAACTCGAACCTGTTCATCTCAATGATACCACGGAAGTCAGGGTGCGAGATGTGATCGCTTTTGTTGCGTGTGCCACTTTGTACTCGGCGAAGCCCGACGCTGCTACTGAGCAGTGTGTTACTGCTTTTCTTATCCACATTGAACTTCTTGAACACACTGAGCTGGCTCAACGATCCTGTGGTCCGCTCGAGGAGAGCATCCTGGATGATGTCGCTTCGTTTCTCGAAGGGTTCTCGAACATCGCCATCCCAATGATTCGGAAGTGGATGGTTAGCCGCAAGTCCATGGGTACGCATGTCAACTGGAGAGTCTTCGACCTGGTGGACGGACGGGTCTTTCTGCACATTTTGCAAAAGCTTCAATCTATGAAACTGGCTGTGAAGTTTCATCATTTTGAATATTATGACAGAAGAATCCGCCACCTTGTCGATGTGGATATGGGGCGCCTCCTGTCTCAACAAGACCCCCCGAACGAGCAGCCTGCGTCGAAAGCCGCCCCCAACTTCGAACTCCTCAACATTGAGCTGAAAAAGACACGCGCCGCCAACCAAGTACTGCCTTTCAGCCATCCCGTGTTGGACTCGTACTTGGAGGAGATCTGGCTTGACACCGACGAAGAGTGGCAGCAGTCATCTACCGGCTCCAAGATCTTCCAGGAACTCACACACTGGCATAATGCGAAGAGGCCGATCGACGCTAAAGCCCCAAGCAAGCCGATGGAATGGCGGGCCCAAAGAAGAATGCAGAGATTCATGGCGGATACCATGAAGTATTCGGCTAGCTTGACTAATGCTTCTGGCAAGAACATCGAGCCAGAGCCTATTGTTGCTCATGGCACCCGCAACAACGGCCAAGCAGACAACGGAAAAGACGATGCGGAGGCGAACTCCTGGAAGAAGCAGCTTTCAAAGAAAGACGCCGCTAAAGCAGTCAAGCGCGGCGCAGGAAGTGGAACGAACAATGCTCGAAAAGCAGTCGAGGAACTCAAGAATGCCAGACTGGATTCGAGAGGTGCTGCAGTTGTCACCTTCTTTGCACAGCAATGCCAGAATTTCAACAAGATCCAGTCGCCCGCGAAGAGATATCTGAAGGCAAACAGATACATGCTGGGTCTTTCGGATCAAGACAGACAGACATTTGGGGGAGAGTTATTGCTGTACATTTGCGAGACGTTGTTGGAGCTCCTCGGCGAGCCGCCGTTCATCGCCAAAGGTGAGATGAGAGCGTTCCAGGGAGGGGAGATTGAACTACGAGGCAATATGCTGACAAAAGACTGCACAGATATGAGCATCATCGCCCTCCTTCGTTCCCATTTGTCGCTCATGAATACCGTGCCTCTTACCAAACCAACAAGGAGGCACCTCGAATCCCTTGCACGCGCCATGCGGCTCCCGCCGCCTCCCAGCTCCGATTCCACAGCCATCGACCGCCCGATCCCCTTCGCAAGCAAGACGGCTATCGCGAAAGAGGTTCTGAAGAGAGGGTTCTTTGAGGAGAGGACAGCTCGCAAGTTCCAGTTGGAGCATTGCGGCCCGTATCTGGAACGAAGCTTCGACTCTGCCCCCGATGGCCGTGTGCCCTTTGCACCAGATGCCTGGCAGAGAAAGGTGCTCGACGCAATCGACGAAGATAAGAGCCTCTTCGTGGTGGCCCCAACTTCTGCTGGAAAGACATTTATCTCATTCTACGCCATGAAGAAGGTCCTCCAAGCCAACGACGACGACGTTCTTGTATATGTCGCTCCTACAAAGGCGCTTGTAAACCAGATCGCGGCCGAGATCCAGGGTAGGTTCTCAAAGACGTACCACACCGCCGGCCGATCTATCTGGGCAATCCATACCCGCGATTACCGCATCAATAACGCGACTGGCTGCCAAGTACTTGTCACTGTTCCTCATATTCTGCAGATCATGCTCTTGGCCCCTTCCAATTCCAAGAAGCCAAATTCTTGGTCTCACAGAGTGAAGCGCATCATCTTCGACGAAGTTCACTGCATCGGTCAGGCCGAAGACGGCATCATCTGGGAGCAACTTCTGCTTTTGGCCCCCTGCCCCATTATTGCATTATCTGCGACGGTCGGAAACCCTCTCGAGTTCAAGGAGTGGGTGGCTGGGACCCAGAAGGCAAAAGGCTTTGACCTTGAGATGGTTGTCCACTCTGCGAGATACTCGGATCTGCGAAAGTTCATGTACCAGCCCCCAGACATGGAGCAGTGGAAGTTTGATGGTCTTGAACCCGTTGAACGTCTTCCCACACCTGGTCTGGATGTCGACGGCATTCGCTCCGACCGATTTGTGTTCGTGCATCCAGTTGGCAGTATCGTCGACAAGTAAGTTTGATTCGAGCCTTTCCTCATGGAAGCTCAACAACACTAACACCTTTCCAGGAGCAAAGACACGTTGAATGATATTAGTCTGGAGCCGCGTGACTGCCTTCAACTCTGGAACGCGATGATCGAGTGTGCCAACGATTCATATCCTGTTGACCGCAGACTTGACCCCGCCACCGCCTTACCTGAAGTCATCAGGAAATCTGATGTGGTGGAATGGGAGGTTTCTCTCAAAGAGCAACTGCACACGTGGATGGCTGATCCATCTTCGCCTTACTCCGACTTGCGCAAGAAATTTGATACCTCTTCGAAGCCTAGCACAGATGTCAAGAAGACCATCGAAACGACGTTTCCTCTTCTGATCGATTTGCGATCCCGAGGAGCCTTGCCGGCCATCCTCTTCAACTACGACCGCGTGGGATGCGAAATGATTCTCTCCGAGGTTCTTCAGAGACTGGAGAAAGCAGAGGAGAAGTACCGCACAGAGAGCGCCGAATGGCACAAGAAGCTGAAGTCTTATCAAAAATGGCAAGATGGCCTCGCAGCGAAAAAGCCAAAGTCCACCAAAGCCTCTGGCAGCCGTCGAGATGACAAAGATGACGGCACGGCTTTCGGCAAGTTGGATCATGTCCGAGAGGATTCGAGCCAGGAGGCTAGCCAGTGGGCAAGCTTCGATCCCTCGGCTCCTATCGAGCAGTTCAGCTTCGCAGACTCGACAAAGCTTTCGAGAGAAGAGCTCGAGGAGATGATTGAAAATTTGGCATATGCCAACATCAAGAAGCCTATTTTGACCGCGCTGCGTCGAGGGCTGGGTGTCCACCATGCGGGCATGAACAGGCAGTACCGTCAGGTGTAAGTTGTCTCTCACGAGGAGGTGTACGGAGAGTATCTCTTGGGACAGTCAGTTAACAGTGAACGAAAGGGTGGAAATGCTCTTCCGCAAGGGTTTCTTGACCGCCGTCATTGCAACAGGTACTCTGGCGCTCGGTTTGAACATGCCATGTAAGACGGTCGTCTTCGCAGGCGACTCCCCCTTTCTGACAGCCCTCAATTATCGTCAAGCGTCGGGTCGCGCTGGTCGCCGAGGCTTCGATCTCCTCGGCAATGTCGTCTTCCACGGAATCCGCCATCAACGAGCGATGGAGATTATGTCGTCTCGCTTGCCCGACTTGAGAGGCCAGTTCCCGATGTCTGTCACTCTGATTCTGCGCCTCTTTGGCCTCTTGCATGGTACGAACGACTCCGACTTTGCGACAAAGGCAGTCCAATCTCTTTTGACGCAGACTCGCCTCTTCCTCGGGGGTCCGTCCTCTCAACTGTCGATCAAGCGCCATCTGCGTTTCTCGATTGAATATCTCAGAAGACAACACCTTCTATCTGCCAACGGAGCCCCTCTCAACTTTTCTGGTCTCGTGGGGCATCTGTACTTCACTGAGAACGCTGCCTTTGCTTTCCACTCTCTGTTGAAAGGAGGATACCTGCATGAGCTGTGCGAAGACGTGAACGACATCAGCAAGCGCAAGGATATGCTTCTGGAGCTACTGAAGGTTCTGTGCCATCTGTTTTGTCGCATCCCTTGCTTCCGCTTTATGAACAAGGAATGGCTCGAGAAGGTCGTTCATCGATCCCCATCTGTTGTCATCCTCCCCAAGCTCCCGGAAACAGCTGAGCGACTCCTCACTGATCATAATCGAGAGACCCTGAACATCTTTCTGATCTACGTCCGGAGCTACATCAGGAAGCATCTCAGAAATGCCCCAGACGATGTTCTGCCTTTCACGAAGCGACGGGTCCAACCTCGTTGTGACTCCGCCTGGCACGATATGTCAGCAATCAATATTCCGATTCTCCCGGCAACTACCATCCGATCCCCATTCGCGGCACTGTCCGGCTTTGCAGACGATTTTGAAACCATTCACGAGTTGTGCGAGACGGTTCGAAGCGGAGTTTTCCTTGAGGAGGAGTCCATTCCGTACATCCCGATTACACCTGCCGAAATCAACAACGTGCCGTTTAACGCATACATCTTGGATTTCTTCAAGCACGGCGACATGGAAGCCCTGGTACGTGACAACGGAATCAAGAGAGGCGACGTGTGGTTCCACCTCAAGGACTTTTCCCTCATTCTGGCGACAATCGTTACTAGTCTGGCGAACTTCCTCGACAAGAGTGGTGCCGAGTTTGATGATGCATCGATGATTGACGTCATGGATGTTGCGGATATTATTGATGGAGAAGCCGACAACGCGGAAGATGGATGCTTCTACGACACACGAACTTCAGAGACCTCTGCGTCAGTCGGTAAGGCCCAGAAACTCAGGCCCAAGCCAAAGCCGAAGAGCGAGGAAGAAGTTCCAGAGTCTTGGATGGACAGCGGTGGTTCGGAAAACGATGCTGACGACTCCTCTGACATGAATGCCAGCACGGACGAGTCTTCTGGGGACCCTCCCAGCCGGGATGAAGATGATGGAACAGGTTTGGTGAAAGTGTACCGGGCATTCAGACTCTTGCAGGAGGAGTTTGATGAGAAATTCCGCAAGGTCTGGGCTTGAGTAGGGGTCAAGTACGAGTTTTCGTGTGGAAATGATGGAAATGACGGATTACTGAAACTGCAATCAACGAAGTGTGAGTAGCTTAGAACAAAGAAAGAATACAGTTTGAGAATACAACTTCGTGGCTTTGTCTCTCAGTTCGAAGCTACCTTCTATCAGAACCATTGAGTCATTTGGGGACACGTTTCCCTGGGTCACTGATGGCCAGCCGTGAAATCGACGGAGAATAGGTGTCCAGCAGAAGAAATACCTAAGACCAGTCTCGACCATCTCGAAGAGTGAAGACGGCTGTGGTGGATCATACACCCTTGTGGCTTTCACTTTGCTGGTTTAACACAATATAGTTCTCTGACACCTTGAGAACCTGAAGCGTCCAGCCTCCAAGACAAATGTCTTTGGGTGACTTTCCATCTAGTCATTACGAAAGGTTTACCAAGCTTGTCACATCTAGGATACAATCATACAACGAGGCTAATCCGTAGTTGTTGTAAACCCAGCCTCGTCCGTCAGTTGCTTCCGCTTCTGTGCCATCCGCTCCAACCCTTCCTCCCAATATTTATCTCTATCATGCCCGTTTCCACTTCCATTGGGACCCTGTTGAGTTAAAATCACGTACCCACTCGCCGCGCACCCGTCGACCCAGAACATTGTGTCTCGCCGTATGAATGGCGGCCATTGCTGACCCCATGAAGTGTATGAAGCCATTCGTGAACGGCCACTGCCAGCTCACCCAACGTGACGAACGGTCTCTGCTTGGCGTCGACACATAGCTTTGGCGGATTTTGATAATATCGCCAGGGGTCGTCTTGACATTCTTCGTCGATGCAATATTCGCTGACCTCGTTTCCGTCGTCGTCTAGCTCGAACTCGTGCTGTTCGGAGATTCTGTGGCACACAGACTCAAATTCTTTCAGGTGATCGACCTCGACAGTGAGGCGAGAAACGAGGGGGTAGCATGCGGGCATTGAGGCGATTGGGTGAAAGGTTTGCGAGGCTCCATCGGCGCCAGGAAAGACAAATGGTTGCCTCTTCGCATAGGTCTCCTTAGGAGATGCCGTAGGATCCAACACTCGTATGTTGCTCAGTGGCCCGGGGAAGGGCCAGACGAGAAGCTCATTTCCGGGGCCCCCGTGGGGCTTCCGCAAATCAAATTCCTCAGACCGGGGGAGAGTTGTATTTTCATTGATGTGAAGAGGGTCATAGATGATGTCCTTGCCAGGCGGCGCTGTGATGGGTATCTTCGTCGAGTCCATGTATGAAAAGTCCACGAGGGGGTCTAACGCTATTTATGTGACAACGACGATAATGAGGATGGAATGGGCGTTTAAATACGAATCAATTCACTCAGGGGACCATCGCTCCCTACGCTGACCGGGTCCGGCCATTCCACTTGCCTATTTGAGACCCATGCCAATGCCCAATTTTGGTCCTCCGGCATCATGCACCCTATCAACCGCATCCACTCTATGTTAGAGAACTGGATACAGCGAAGTTCTCATGCCTAACAACTTGCATTAAACACCCCCATAGCCTCTTCGAATAACCGAAAAGACATGCTAGGTGACCATTGATAGGCATAGCCGTTCAGCACTGTAGGATAAAGCTCTGTAAGGTCTAGGCTTAAGTAGGAGGCATATACGAAATCATATATCGCGGAAATGATAGAGATGAGGGATTATTAATATTACAATCGACGAGATTTAGTTCAGACTAGACATAGAATATGATTTGGCATGTTTTTATTAGTCGCGAGCGGCGCCACCCCAAGAGCCCGTTCGGCGCCTGCAAAATCTTACTCATGGCTTTGAAGATATTCCTGAGACCTGATGCGACTCTTGTGGAAGCTAAGATAGGATGCGACACGAGGCTTCACATGAAGTCTGCACTCATCAAAAGTGCACTCCAGTGTCCTGGTTGCTGCGCCAGAGTTTTGTCATCTTCACAGGAGAGGCAAGTCATGTATGTTCTGCTTCTTGAAGAGACTTACCCAGCTCGAAACGGTTGTATTGTGATAATGAATAGATCTGTTGTTGAAACAGAACAAAATGAAAGCCCACCGCGGCAACCGTTGAGTTGCAACAGCTTCAATCAAACAGAAAGGTATGAAGGCCTTCGTGTGCTAGCCAACCGCGTGGGAAAACATCTCCCCAAAGAGTTCAAGATTGGCAACGAGTGTCTGGAGTCATCTTCCCTCCCAAACTTCTCCATCCATCCCATCAATATCCCATGCACCCGAAATCCACCAGCAACAATGCGTCCCACAATTGTCGACCTGTTCTATCCATGAATTAGAACCTGAAGATCTCAACGAGAATCACCAGCTTTCCTTATTCACGGCCCACAGTTCCAGGTTGCCCAGGTAGGAAGGCCGGGGCTCCTGCCTACCCTGCAAAGAGGCCCTCGGCCAGAGGGAACCCTGGAACACCCGCCAAAAGGCAGCCGGTGTCCAACGACGGGCGTGCTCTGCAGCTTCCACACATTCTTCGAAGCCTCCGGTCCGAGGGATGTCAACACTCAGGCAAAGCCCCAGCTTGCCTCAATATCCCTCCCCCGACCGGTGAGTTGGCTGAAGGGAGTGCGCGGAAGCGGTAGAGCACAACCGTATTGGACGCCGGATGCCTTTTGGCAGGGTTTCCGGGGTTCCCTCTGGTTGAGGGCAGTACTAGTCCGTTAATATGAACCTGCGTTTGCCCGTGGAAGAGGATTCAACGACGCCGAGGCGTCGTCAAATGCCCTTCCAGAAACATAGGCGCAGTATAGCTCTCAGTGGGGGAAGGGTTTGGTACGTTACCGTGTGATGAAGCTGCTTCAGACAGGCTCAGAGGCGGTAGGCTCGATGATGCCCATGTTTTCCATCACCCTTTTTGCGACAGCTTCGCCCGCGTCCTCGAACACAGCCCCAACAATGGCTTCAATGGTTGCGGATTTATTGTCTCTGGAGACAAGTCCGCCATGGAAAGGACTGACATTGATCCATTGCGTTAGACCAATGTTGTCGCAAAGAGCTTCGAGTCGGCGATCGCTGGCGAGCTCAGCGACGCGCCTTGTCGCTTGTCCTGCTGACTATCAGCTTGCTGAGGCACATTGGCATTGCAGATTTGCCTTGCGCTACCTATAGTACGTCCGTTGCGGCGTTCGTCGCGGATGATGATAAAGCCGATCATTTTATCACCGAGCAAAGCCAACATTTTGTTGTTCTCAGGTACTGGGCGGCCTCCAATATGAGTCACGAGGGACCCTTTCCCTTGGAGAGCCTCCCACAAGCGGTCACGGTCTTGAAACTCATAGTCAATGATGGCCATCACCTCGTTCTCCTTCTGCGCACGGTTGTATAGATCGTCGTTCATCGTTCAGTGATGTCGCAAGGGGGAAATAGTATGAAGGTTAGCAGGGCCGAAATGAAATCTGCAGGATGAATTGGGTTGGAAGATATTGCTGTCAACCTTGAGGGAAGGCATGGCTTATTTATCATTTGGCTTATGAGCTTGCCGCTGGCCGGCGAACCAGTTGCCCAGCCACCGTAATGCTCATGCCAAATGTCTCAGACTCGCATGGCTCCCAGCCTTCTTGGCAAGCAGCGAGACAGTCTACGCCGAATCACGCTTCTTGAACTTGAAACAACGCAGGCTGGGAAAGTATTTCCTGCCTTGCTTGTGCCCTGAATCGATTGATTCAGCAGATGTTCCGGGTTGAAGTGCATTCCACTTGGTGTATGCCGTCACGCAGGTATGCTTCTTCGCAGGCCGCAAACATGGACTGATGCAATGAGTAGCCGAGGGGAGAACCTTTGCGTTTCAGACTTCAAGTGCTTATTGCAGCGGCTGGTATTGGTCCTTGAGTGGGTAGTCGCCGTACTCTGCCATAAGGAGTGACCCTCATTCAATCCAACCACCATCGGCCAGAGGCGCAATAACTTCACAGATGGGGAGCAATGGTGACAGGATGAAGCAGTTGTATTCATGATATCTCTAATTGTTTGCATGGGCAGGCGATGCTCACAGCCGGAAAATCAGAAAGATGGCAACGAGACACGCACAGCTTCCTAGTCTCGATATCGCGACGTCTATGCTGTCTTCTTCTAGAGGCCACGTCAGCGCACCGAGGTTTCTTTCGATACGTAAATCTGAACAGAATGTTAGCGAATGTTCCAAGCCAAGTCTGACTCCATCAAAACAGATACAAGGCAACCCTGTAGGTCATACATCCAAGGAAGGTTGAACGCTCATCGCACGTCTCAAAGGCTCGAGTGACGTCTTGCGTGGAAACTGCGAATAAGGTGGAACATTTAATCATGCAAAGGGAGGTGTGCTGCGAGATGGAATGAAATTTCTTGGTGACTTACCGAACTGGCTTCACGCTCTGAGGGCAGCGTGTGCTCTCAGAACGGTGATGGAGGAGAAAGAAAAAAGAGGGAGGGGCTCAGAAAATTTCGCGTTGAAGAAATTCTTCCCCGGGTGGGTCCTTTTCGCGCTGGCCTGTGCGCTTCGCGATCTCATGTGCATAGTGGAGACATATAACCGGCTCGGATTGGCCACACATGTTCGGGCTGGAGGGACGTAACTCCGGAGCACGTTCTTATTGAATGGCTCTCCCGTCCCATCATTCTCGATGTTCAACATCTGTTCACTGCCAGCTGACTCAGTCAGCATGAGCCGGAGGTATGGCTTGATATTGGCTGATGCATGGATTTTCGATTGATTGGCATGATTTCTCTGCATCGTCACCACTCCTTTGCGGAGCAGAGAATGTCTCCACCATGGCAAACAAACGCGTCATCTTCAGCGCCGACATGAACATCACGACGCGTCTCAGTGGAAGCTGGCAACACTCAAGTAAAGTAGAATTCCAATCTAGTTGACATCTTTTCCAGGGTCATTCATGTCCTTCCTTCTCTGTCCCAGAGCAACATACAGAAACCAAGCCAATCCGTGTCCGCCCTTATCATACATACAAGCAAGCAAGCCATCCCAAAATCTCAAATTCAATGCATGGGGAAGTCGTAGGCGCCGGCGACGTTGCGGTGGGAGCCGTCCTTGTACGACTGGCCAAAAATAGGCTGCGGCTCGGGGATGGGAACGACCATGAGATCCAGGGTGATAGCCGCCTCTCTTCTCTTCCAAAGTCGGTCGATCTCCTTGTCTTCTTGCGTGAGCAGGAACGGGCACTTGTGGCGCGCGTCGTTGAACCTGCGGCGCTCGTAATCGGTGCGCATCTTGTGGATGTCGTCCGACATGCGGGTCTTCATGACCACGGTGGTGGTCTGCTCGAAGTGGTCGTAGTCGAGCAGCTGACCTCGGGGGATTTCGCCGGTTGCTCCCTCGGCGGCGGGAAGGGGGTCGACGAACAAGTCAGTGATGGCGGCAGGAGGGTTGAGTGAGTTGTTGTCGACGGTGTTGTGGCCGGCGGTGTGAGATGTGGCAACGTTGTGGTCGATAGAACCGAAGTCAGTGTTGTCATGCTGGAGCGCGGTGCCAGAGTCGACGACATTCGGAGAAAGCTTGAGCTCGAAGTCGCTCTCGGAAGGCAAGAAGGCGCTGGGCGAGACATATGGAGAGGGTGAATTCTTGGCGAGGGCCTCCATGTCGTCCTCGAAATTCATGCCGTCGTAATCCAGGCCATCGTAGGTCTGCGGCTCGAAACGGCTCATTGAGTGGTCATGGTAGTCGATGTTGTCAAGACGGTGCTGCTCAAGTTCCTGCAGCTGCCGGTGCTGGGACGCAAGCTTCTCTCGCTGTGCGTCGCGACGCTCCGCACCTTGCTGGAACGACTCATGATCTTTCTGTCGCTGTTGCTCTTCCTGGTCGGCGTGTTGCTTGTCCTTCTCCGCCTTCTTCTCAGCGTCCTTGCGGGCCTTGGTAGCAGCGGCGGACTTTCTCCGCCTCGCACGGCAATCGTAGCAGTGGGCGAAGTACTCGACGTTGCCCATGGAGCGTCTGCTGGAGAAAGACGAGGAGGGGAAGTCCTTCTTGCACTTGGTGCACTTTCGCTGGCCCTCGGGGCTGGCCGATCCGGAAGCGGCAATAGCGGTGGCGGTGGAAGCGGGAGAGGGAGCTGGACTCGGAGACGAAGCGACAGTCTGAGAACGACCGAACGGGCTGGAAGACGGAGCAGATGGAGTGGATGCCTGGCCAGACGGGAGGGCCGAGTTCAGAAGAACATCCTGAGGCGCGACGGTCTGGGGGACGCTCCGAGGAATCTGGCCTTGCGGATTACCGGGCAGAGAGATCTTCGAAGGCTCAGGCGTGCCAAAGAGCGAGTTGTCGGCGTCCATCGTGATGTGTGCGATATTCACTGACGTGGTGTTGTGTATGGGAGAGAGTGGTGGATGGGAGAGCCCTTGAAATATTTTGACCTCGTGAGGTGAATATGGAAGAGTGAAAACTCTTGACTAGAAGCAAACTCCAAGAAGGAAGGTAGGAGTAACTCGAGGTAAGTGCGAGTGAGAACTTCAACAGTCGATTTTCTTTCCTTTTGTCGTCTGATCTCGCGCACTTGCGGTTTCTAGGGCTTCCGCGGTTCTTCGAGGTACAATATCGTTGTGGTTTTCTTTGACCAGAGAGGCTTTGGGTTCAGTTCCCTCGTCAAAAACCGCCAACAGAGAAGAGAAAGACGACAGCTTTGACGCGTCGTCTAGACCTTTCAATCGCGATACTTACATGAAAGACGCGTGTGGGCAATTTGAAGCAATTTCTATGCCCATACGGAAGGCCCAATAGAGGGCTCTTTCCAATTTGGGTGAAAGTCCAAGTGAGAAGGTGAATTGCATTTGGCCAGTGAATGGGCCTCAGAGCCAATAGAAGGCTTCGCCTAATTCTCCATCAGTCATTGAAAACGCAAAGCGCGCCTCAAAACAATCTTCTCAGCAGCATCACCCTCATCCGCCACTCCAACATCGGCAGCAACATCTATTGCCCCCCTGAACCAGCCTTTGAAGACTGCTTTGCGGGTCAAATTTTTGCAACAATATCGTCGCCCGCGCCTGCCTCAGATCTGCCCCCTTTGCGAATGATCGATATGGCCTCGAGCCCTGGTCTTCCGACCCCCGCGTGGAACCCGGGCTGCGAGAGCATGAGGGAGTTCATGGGCAACGACGACCTTCTCAGTCTGCTCGAGTCATACGTGAGTCGACGGCTGTTACATATCTCCTTCGATCACTAACTTTATTCTAGATCCACGACAGGCACCACCTTCACTCGCTGTGTCTGGTCAACAGGATGTTCAACGTAGTCTTTTCCCAGTCTCTATATGAGCATCTCCTCATCAAACATACCCACGTTCATTGCATTGAACCCGACTCGGAAAACTTCCAAGCACTTCTGAACAGCCCAAGCCTTCGACACACACGGAAGCTGTCGCTCCTGCAGATGGACCAGCTGTACTACACCCGAACAGAAGCCGCCTCCAGATACGGCCCCATACTCAACGAAGCAATATGCCAGATCGTGAAGCGGTGCCCCGATCTCCGCCAATTTACTTTCTCTGCACCGTCACGTGCTTCGTGTGAAGGCCTGCCAGAATACTTCGTTTCGGAGGAGACGCTCGACTGCCTCCATAGCTCCTGCCCAATGCTGCAGTCTCTCTCACTGGAGCAGGCATTCCCTCGTATCCCTCGCCGAGGAGGCATTGGTCAGCGTGTCGAAGATGTAGTTGGCGTCATGCGATTTCCGGAGTTCTCGAACCTCATTACCCTGCATATGATGGGCATCAGGTGGAGTGCGTTGTGGGCGGAGTGGATAGCTGGAATACTGTCGTCAACACCGCAGGTTGAGGAACTGAGCCTATCAATGCGGTCTCCGATATGCTGCAGCATCACCTGGGATTTGGAAGTCTACAGCAACTGGAGTGATTTCTTGATCAGCCTAAGCGACGAGTACGAAGCGCTAGGGAAACCGCCCCTCAAGCTTCGCAAGCTGAAGCTCCACAACGATATCGGCTTCGTCGTCCACACCCAGCCAAGCATCGGATACCTCGAATCCCTCACCGATCTGGAGGTGCTCGAAGAGCTTCGTATTTTCAACAATCACCGGTACCCTGACGAATCGATGGTGGCCCCGCCTCACCTAAGAAGGCTGTCGATGCCCTACAGATTCATCACGTACGACACAATGCCACGACTCCGCAAATTCTCGTTCGACAACATGGATGGCGACATCATGGACTGGCTCATCCAAGTGGCAGAGACGCCCTTCAAAGACCAACTTACCCTCTGCAATGATGGAGTTGACTACTGGGAGGCCGGTGCCGAGCTCTTCGATGCTGTTTCCAGCGCGCGAGCCCGGAAGAGAGCAGAAACCCCGTTGGACAGCTTCACAGCAAGCGACTTGGCGTCGGTCTTGCGACCGATTCATTGGATTCATGCTGACTCTCTCCTTGTGCCCGACGTCTTGAGTGAATGTTTCGTGTTCCCGGGCAGGCTAGGAGTAGGTTATTCCAACCATCTAAGCCTCACGAATCCTCATCGGCCGGGAGAATGCACATGGGTCAAAAGCATGCGTCTTTTCGTCGGAAGTGCAGACCTGAACATGCCAGAGTTACTTCTACTTCTCGACGGAATGGACACGATCGAAAACTTGATGATCGTCAGCTACATGGCAGACCATTGGGAGAACTTTGTCCACCCATGCGACAATCAAACGTGGGAGGCAAACGCTCGGAGGATTGCTATCACGTTGCCGAGTTTGAAATACCTGAAGGTAAACAGAGTGTCATGGAGATTCCAGCGCTCGCATGACGACAATGGGTTGATGGCGCAGAGACTGAGTGTGGCAGAGGACGAGATGCTCGGCAGGTTTCCGCCGCTCAGCGACTTGCCAATTTACGCGAAGGTTTGGAGAGGCTGGAGAAGATCGGTTATGAGTCCTGGCTTGATTTGAGGTTCTGAAAGATAAACCTCAGAATAGGGTTCAAGTAACGGCAAAGACGAACAGATACCAGGACCAGGGTGCGGAACGAGTGTCAGAGAATGGGATCCCAAGCTGCCCCGTTTCTATTAATCCGCCAAGAATGATTGAGATACAAAGGAAGGGAAAGAACGTCACTCATTAGTCCAGAACTAGATAGTTACAATGGATTGCGATACCTGAACAAAAGGAATGTTGAACATGATTCCAATCGACCGCAACAAAGGCTTGGTTTCCCACGTGCATGAGGCCGCGAGGCGGGCTCGCCCTACATCGATTTCAACATACCACGAGCACCAGCAAACTCCAACTCATCCAATGTTTCAGCCCAGAGCCGTTCCGTGACATTCTTTCCTTCGGATGTGTAAAGAAAGGCCGCGAATCTCCAGTATGTTAGTCTTCCATGCAGCCAGCGAGGACGGGTCATGTAAACTTACGGATGAATATTCCAGCTCATCAGAAAGCATCCATGAGATTCTTTCCCTTTGTTCACCACAGCATCAATAAAGCAAGAGGCACCGACTCTCGGAGTTCTACCCGTTGCCCCAAAGGCCCAAAGACCCCACCTCAGCAAGCCGGGAGCATCTCGGCCCAAGGCAGTGCCCCTGCACCAGGCAGGATCTGACAGGTTGACGATGACGTCGTCGGCAGAAACAATATCGGAAAGCTTCCAAAGGAACATGTGAGCCAGAAGCTTGGATGAGTTGTATGTTTCGGAGCTGAATATCTTGGGGTCGTCAAAGGACGGTAGCAAGGGTTTGGCATCCCTGTTGGGAAAGCTTGCGGCGAGCGTCAATGCAGCGTTGACGATGGTCAGGTGTGCAGGGTCGCCTTCGGGCTTACGCTTAGCCTTCAGGACCGGCAGTAGAAGGATGGCGAGCAACACGGTGGACAAGTAGTTGACCTGCAGTGTCTCCTCGTGCCCGGTGCTCGGATTCTTGGAGAAGGACATCTTCATAATGCCGGCGTTGAGAATGATGATGTCGATTGGAGATAGATGACTTTCTGCTCGGCGGGTAAATGCTTGGATGGAGTCGTACGAGTTCATGTCGAGTTGCCACACATCGATGGTGGTGCTAGGATGCTGCTTGCGGAGTTTGGCTGCTGCGTCCTCTCCCCTCTCGAGAGAGCGGACGGCAAGGATCAAATTCGAGAGCTTCAAGTTAAGCAACTGAATGGCTGCTTCGTACCCAAGTCCAGTGTTGCCGCCGGTAATAATGGCGGTTTTGCCTGAAAGGCTGGTGTTCGGAGCTGGCCATTGGGGCTTTGCGCAGAATTGATTATGAAAAAAGACGCTGCCAAAGGACGCTGTTGAGGGAGGGAGATCCTTAGAACCAGTCATATTGAAAAACTTGTTGGCTTTTCGATTTAAATTTATGAGAAAGTGAGGAACAGAATGATTTTGTTGGAAGCTGTGTGCTAGTAGTGATGACTCGAAGACGAGGGGCATGGGCGTGAATACTTATACCTCAAGGGCTGTCCAAAGATGCCTTGGAAATCAATCGGAAATCAAAAGCGATTGGCATACATATTGACGAATGGACTTAAAGACTGCGCCATCTTCCATCAAAGCCTTGCCATATCTCCGCCGACCAGTTTGTATACCCTTTTGGGAAACGGCCGCGATGTCAGCCTGAATGAGGCTATTCCCGATTTGGCATACAATGTGGTCGAGGTCGTAAGAGCGATCAGCAGCTGGTACCCATCGCACAGGCAGTGGCGCTTACGTCTGTGTAATTCCGAATCCCGTCCGATATCATAACATCATTAATTGAGACACCCGGGCTTAAGTCATAATCTGCCCGAGGCTCTCGATTGCACTTATCAGATCATTACATCGCAGAAGATCTGTCAGCTTGTGAGAGGATTCATTCCATTATCTACTCTGACGACAAAAGATTGTGACATGTGATCTGGACACGAGCAAGGGAGCAACCAGATTCGCGCAGCCCATAATCATTGTATCGGAAGAAGGCCCATCAGCTGTCTCCCACGATTCACCTCTGCCAGAGTGAGTTGACCGGGAGCAGATGGGACGGGGAGGAGCTCGTGTGTTACAAGTGATATCGGCGAAAGCATCCTTGAAAGCTGGCCATGCTGACCCATGCCCACGGCAAGAAGAGGCTTGGGGTTTTTTTGAAGAATGACTTCTCTCGAACAGAGCAAGCTCGTGGCAGTCATAGACATCTGCGGACAAGATGCTGAGCTTGATGATATCTACGGATGCCGGGTTAGCAGTTAAGGCTTTGTATGGAGCTGACGATTTAGGTGTGTTTACCTCCGAAAGCGTCCGCTGTGGCATACTTCTCCCGTAGGAGGTCACTCGGCCATCGTATAGCACCAGTCCAATCATGGAACGAGGCGATGATCTTCGAACTTCCTTTCTTCTCAACGACGGCATTGACCAATTTAGGAGACCATTCGATCTCAACGTCGATGTATTTGCACCGCTCTTCAACAGCCATGAGCATCAACGCCAGAGCCTCGTTCTCGGCGTCCGGCGGAAACTTGCCCCCTTGAGGCGCTGTGCGGATAGTAAAGAGAATAGGCATGTCGGATAGAGATTGAAGGAGCTTTATCTGAGCTTGGACGTAGCTCAGTGGCGGCAAGTTCGTGGTACCCAGAGGCTCACGAGAGGGGCTGAGGAGATCGACTCTCATTTCCCAAATGTCACCACCATGGCTGATACGAGGAATATCAGCAGCGCCAAGAGCTATATCTGAGTAAGTTAGGGGTATGATGAAGGTTTGTCGACGCGGATCATGGTTGTGATTATCGAAAAGGATGTCCGCCATGACGATGGTGAATAGGCGTGCGAAGTTGATAGTGTGGTTGTGGAGAAGATTTATATTTATGCGCTTTTCACAGGTGGTGATCATGTACTTTGTCAATAGCGATATCTTAGCAGATTTTCCCCCGCGTTTTGTTGGTTCTAATGCCGTTCAAATTCCGAGAAAGCTCATCGGGTGATGTCAACGCCGTCCAGTATCCGGGAATAGGTTCCGTCCCGTCTCTTGCAGCCGGCAAAGAAAATAGCCGTCTCTCATCGCCGCAACGCATTGAGATCGGACATCAATATCTTGACAAAGCTAACTGCCATTAATACTATCGGCTAATAAGATATAGTCAACTTAGCTCAACTCATGTACTAGCACAAACGGGGTATGAACACGTGGTTCTCACAATTGCAGTGAAAGTTTTCAGTCACGGCCAGGCGTTGGATTGCGTGATTGATAAAAGACAGATATTAATTATACTGAGAGCGCGAGATCTTGTGATTTTCACTTGCCAAACATATCCAGGCATGCTGGTTCCGGTGCCGGAGAAGCTAATAAAGCTCCCGCTGGAGTTGTTCGACAGCCTATGAATCATATAACACCCTAAGCTTCATGGTGAGACGCTGCAATCTCCTTCTCGTCACGTCCCAAAGCATCAGCATGGCCATCAGCTCGACGCTGGTTGATAATCTCCTCAGTCTGCCGACGCCAAGTGCGAGGCATGCCCTTGCGGGTGAACAGCACGTCCATGTCTTCAAGAGAGATACCCTTGGTCTCTGGAATGAGGAGGAAGGTGAAGACAAATCCAAACACGACAGAACAAGCGAACAACAGAAACGTGCCATACGTGATGTCCGCCATCATGTAAGGCGTCGAGTAGACAATCGTGAACTGACCGAGCCACTGAGCACAAGTCGTGAAGACCAGGCAGATTGAGCGGATACCCATGGGGAAAATCTCAGCGCTATGGGGCACGGTCAGCAGCGCGCGAACTTGAGATGGTCGGAGAGGATATACCAGAAGATCCATGGAATGCCGTTCCATGAGATGGCGTATAAAACGGCGAAGATGTAGATCATTACGATAGCGACATAGGCACCAGGTGTTCTATCGCCTGCAGACAACTGACCGGCCTCGAAAGATCCAGACAGCTTCGCGTATGCTCCTAGATAGAACAGGGCGATCGCGGCCCCGGTCGAACCGATCATAAGGGATTGCCGACGGCCGAGGGCGTCGACGCCCCATATCATGTAAAGCATCGTAGCAAATGCTTTGACGATGCCGAAAATGCCGGTAGCCAGAAGACCTACGCTAGTGCCAGTAAAGCCGATGGATTGGAAAATCGAGGGCGAATAATAATTAAGAGCGTTGATGCCAGACCTGGAATGATTGAACTCAGTAATCTGTTGAAACATCACACTGAGACGACCATCACCACTCACATGTTTTGGATAAACATTAGGGCAATGCCCAACAGAAGACGGCGTCTGTTTGTGGGAAGCTTAATCTCCCGCAGTTTCTCCAACAGGCCCCTATTCGCACCCATCGCAGTCTCCTCCTCGATCTGTTGTAGAACCGTGTTGATCTCCCAGTTCAGATATGGATGGTCGGCAGGCAGTTTTCGCAGGCGTTGAAGAACTCTTCGCGCTTGATCAGTGCGACCGGCGTTCAAAAGCCAGCGAGGAGACTCAGGCTGAAGAAACATGCAAATGGACAGAAGGCTGCCAGGGATAATCTGCAGTGCAAATGGCACATGCCATTGGGTGTCAGAGCTTCCTGAAATATGTATGTTGACTCCGTAGTTCACCCAGAAGCCGATGATCTGAGAGAATTGCAAGAAGATTTCGAATACTCCGATAAGGCGCCCGCGAATCGCAGGGGGGCCAGACTCGGAGATATAAACCGGAATGATCATAGACGAAGAACCAACGGCAAGACCTGTAATTAGTTTCAATGCGTCAGCTACCGCAAGGACTTGGAATCGCATCGTGACCAACCTGTCAGAACTCGGCCGGCGTATATTAGGGCTAAATTACCGCTGGCAACGAGCTGTAAGATCGCGCCAAGGTCGAAGAGCGCGCCGCAACCGATGAGCACCCAGCGACGGCCCAGCCGCTCAACCAAGTAGTAGCACAACAAGACACCAAAGAAGCATCCACCCTGAAATGTGCTGACGATGTTGGCTTTGAGCGCAGCAAGGTCGGTGCCTGTCGATGAGTCGAGACCAAATCGACTCTGAAAGGATGGAAGCGACATAGTACCTCCTATGAACGCAGAGTCGTATCCAAACATCGCGGACCCCATGGCCGCGGAAGCCGCCAGGCCATAGATCCTCCAGTTGTAGACCTCCGCAGGCGCGGGGTTGGCGGAGGCATCCTTGGGTCGCTTAAAGATATTGACCATTGTCGCTGGCTTCAATCGCATGCGATACGAGCGAGATATCAGACCGAAGAAAAGACAAGTGTGTCTCAGCAACCCGCCTATAATCGAAGAAGGCTGTCTCCGGGTGGGCTTAATATGAACATGAAGTGGGTTTATCCACTGTGTTTTGACGTGCTACCCCAGATCTTACCCCAGACATCCACACCTCTCTTCCCCAGCTTTTGGAGCGAGCGGAGGGTGAATATTTTCCCCAAATTCGAGATATGCACGATGACCCAGGGATTTGAAGAGGGGGTTTGAATTGGAAGAGTTCTTTCCCGATGCCAAGAAGCCAATCGGGTTATCACGCCAATGAAAGCCAAGTTGCTCTTTGATTGGAGATCCCATGATTTGGTCAGAGACGTATTGCCCAGCAGAAGGTGGGGTATGCCGAGCTCGCCAACAAAAGTTATTCACACAGCCATGTCACTTTGTCTGCGGACCATTGGATGATGGGAAGGGTGTCAACAAGGGTCGCGTCTGACGGTTGTTTGTTAAGCCGGCACAGGTTGACAATTGAGACCACAAGTTACATCGCACACAGTAGCGCTACATCCAGCTTGAAAGCGTACACACCGCAGGGCCGTTACCATGGACTTGGGCTCCAAACTAAGAAGTCAAATGATTATGTTTCAATGCTTTCAAAGTGGATGATGACATCACCATTGTTTTACCAGCGATAGCATCTATATCTGGGTTCCTGGCAAACTCCCCATACATGTTCCTAAGTCAGTGGATGAGCCGTAGCGATGACATCTGGATGATAAAAGAGTGGAAGGTGTTATTTGGGCTACGGAAAATTAGGAGCTACAGCTGACGTCGTTTTTCTTGCAGGTGTAAAGCCCACACATCGAGGGCGCCTTGCACAGGCCGCAGTTACCACCGCCCCAAGTACTCTCCATGTCCGAGCCCTTGATTGTCTTATTGTCAAGTTGATAGCATACTGTGGATTCGTAGCTGTAGTCGACACTGAATATTTCGGGCTTCCAGCCGTCTGCTGCAGTATACTCAAAGGATCTCGCGTTGTTCTTCACAACGGCCTTGGCGCCGTTGTCGCACTCGAGCTCGAAGACGGTCTGGTCGCTTGCCCAGTGTTTCCCACCGCCCGTCCGGCAGACTTCCACGCCGTTCTCCCAAATCTGGACGTTGACGCTGTCTGGCTGGAATGCGCAGTTGCTCATGTAAACGTGAGCAGCCATGCAACGTGGTTTCGGCGCGGGAGCTGGCGGCGCTGGGGCAGGCGTTGGACCTGGGACCTGCCACGTCGCACATCCAGCAGTTGTGACGGTGGCTTCACCGTGGGGACCGCCAGTGATGGTCCAAGTCTCGCTCTTGATACACGTACCACCCGACGGGCTCGGGGCTGGGCCGAGTGTTGGGAGGTCGGGTAGATGGAATATGCTAGACGTAGTCGTACCAAAGCTGGCGCAGGACGTCGAAGTCACGCAGACGCCGCCTCGCGGTCCTCCGTTGCACAGTGTGGCAGTTGTTGACGAGAGACATACTTGCCCAGGAGGCGCTGCTGTCGGTGCCGGTGTCAATGTTGGCAAGTTGGTCAACCCACCTCCAAATCCTCCACTCTCAGCTGGCCTGGTGTTGGTCGGGCGCGAAGTTTCCCACGGTGGAGCAAAGTCCGGTGGCGTACCAGTTGGGTTTGGGCTGCAGTAATATCCAGAGCAGAGATGGCCGCAGTCTGCTGTGCAGAGGGGCGCTGGCGGACCCGGCTTGTACGTGACGCGAGGACCTTGGGGTACAGGGTTGTTTCCACCTCCAGGCAAGTTGGGAATCGGGCAGGCTGCCTGTCGGCTGTCCAGCCCTCTCTTTTGAGAGCTTCCACATTGTTCGAATGGATCGGCAAGGTTCCAGACCATTTTCTCTTTCTGTTCAAAATCTGCTTCATCTTCCGTGAGAGGGAGAGGTCGTGACACTTGTTGCATGATGGATTTGAGGGATGCGGGATCCTCCCCGAATCCGTAATGCATTCCTCTGACGTAGGCAACAAGACCGGCAACCAGCGGAGCGGCTTTGCAAATGAGCATAATGTAAGTAAGTGGTCGTAAGCCTTGACAATGAGAATGCCTGTGACTTACCAAATGATGATCCAGTAGCCGTGCCCTCTGAGAATTGCGGTGACACAAATACCTCGTTTGGAGGAACAAGTAGCCCTTCGCCTGGGGCCCATGTGTCGCCTGCATTGCTGTCAACCCACCAGCCTGCATTATTGAGGTAGCCAACAAGAAATGCCCCGTCGAGCTCTCGGACTAGGATTCCTGGGACAGTTGTAGGGTCATCTTCGCCTTGGTTTCCAGCGGCAACGACGAAGGTGATTCCGTAGCTTTGTTCCATTCTCTTCATCAGCATATCTGCAGAGAGTTAGCTGGTGTCTTATTTACGGCAACTCAACCAAAGCGGGGGCCGCTCCTGACGAAACATCTTTCGCCACTTACAAATAAGCTGTGTGAGAGGATCGTCCCTGTTCTTCGCAAAACCACCGGACACATTCACCACACCTGAGTTCCTAGGTTTCGGGTTCCGCTTGTCTTCTTCTGTGTCTTCATCCGTGAAGTCATTACAGATAAGCGTAAGTGCTTCCAAGAAGCCCTCTGCGCGTAATCCTGGAGGTCCGCGTGGCACAAATACGAGGTCAGCATTTCTCGCGATGCCAACTTTGGAGCCAACGGCATAGTTTGCCACCAGATGTCCATGCTCGGTCTCGAACGTGCTGGACTGACGTGCTGGGCGCCAGCTGCCCCCGGTGAGAGCTTTTGCTTGCTTGTCGAAGTCCTGCATTTGAAGAATTAGCATAATAGGAGACGGTGGAGGGCTGAAAGAATCCAAGTCTAGAGACGCTTTCCATCCGATTCCCTGTCTCAAATACTTACTGCTGCAACATGTCCCCTCCAGCCGCCTTCGATGATGTAGATCGTTTGACCCTCACCTTCGGGTGAGCTGAATTGGTACGTATATTTGCCATCATTCGGATCGTGTTCGCCATTCTTTTGGAACCAATATTTGTTGGGCGGCCAGGAAATCTGTGACAGATGCCAGTAATGGTCGTTGCCTTCGAACCTCTTTGTTTTGGAGGTACCCGGCGCGAGCTGGAGAGGTGCTAGTGTGATGTTGTGACTCGAAGGTCTTGGCTCTTGGATTGCTGCAAAGCTTCCATCTTCCGAGCCTTCAACCTCATCTCGCTTGCCCGTTGACGAGGTCGTAGACGGCATTCTATACGCACGACCAACCTGGGGATGGAAGTTAGTGAGTGTATTGCGACCGTTAGTGCGACGTGGTTACGCCGACGTACCTCGTCAATTTCGTCAGAATTGAAGTAGTCAAAGGCAAGAGGGCCAAGGTTAGTAACATGGATAAACGCGGTAAAACCCATATGCTTCGCTTGAATCATCTCAAAGCCATTCTTCATCTCTCTTTTCTTGAGAGCTGTGTCGCGTCGCTCGAGGACACCTTCGACAATTGCTCGAGCGGTGACCGAAAAAGGCATGCTCAAAAGAAGGATACCATCACTACCGTCTTGCTCATTGCACCAACTCGGCTCGGAACGCTTCACAAGGAGTCGTTTCTCCGGTGCGTGGGTCGCTTCTGGAAGATCCGGAACCTGCATAGCTCTGCGCGTAAGCTTGCAGGCATTTGCTGTCTTCGTAGCTTCAACGTCTTGGATATTGCAGCCCGTAATCGTAGCACACCGAGAGTTGACCTGTGTAGCTGTAGTCTTTGTTGTGCCCGCGGACACTGAGGTAGCGAAGGAGCTGGTTGTAATGCAGAGCGAAGCTTCCGCGGGCGTGCAAGAGGCGGGCTTTGGCGGAACCTCGATACTCCCACCGGGATGGACACTATTCCAAATCATAATCAGCAATTAAATCATCACTTGCAGCGGGACTAGGGGGTCTTACGTGATCTTAGGCCAAGGGGGAAGCGGACCGATGATGTTGATGTTGGGTGGGAACCTCAATGGAGGCGGGGGGCCTCTGCAAATGACAGGTTAGAAGACGGTGGGCGTTTGGTTTCGAGATAGCGCGGCACTCACGGTCCCCAGATGCCGGGCGGAATGATCCATTCCAAGCCACCGATGTGTATGTCGAGGTCATCCCACTTAACGCATATCTGTATCAGAAGGATGTGTTAGAAGACTTGTCAGAGTAACAGGAGGTGGAACGTCGAGAACTCACCCAGAAAAACCAAACTTTACAGGTGCTCTTGTGCTTGGGGCCTTCTCCATCGTCATCTTCACCACTGTCGGGCACGTCGGTCTCGACCGGCACGACCGAAATTACTTCGGGCCATGTACCTGTGGGCTCAGGATCATCATCTGTGTCCCATGTGAACGGTGTTTTGCTGGTGGAAGGGAGCTCGGTTATTGTGGGCGGTCCTGCTGGCGGGACAGTGATGATGGGGAAACCTGATTGCCCTTGGCTTGGATCCTTTGAAGTCCATTGAGCGGGAGGACCTTCTGTGACAGAGGGCCAAGGAGGGACAACGAGAGTCCTGACCTGAGTTAGACCTCCTGGAAGAATGAAGGTCGTGACAATAGGCGGGATGCTGATGCTGGGCAAAGGTACGATTGTGCTGGAGTCAATTTGACCAGAGGTGACGTTGACATTATAGTAATCCATCGACTGGGTTACGATGGGCGGAATCTGAATCGTAAGGGTCGTCGTAAGATCTGGCGCGATCACGACAGATGTCGTGTAGGATGGGATTGTGATGGTGGTGGTGGACGGTAGTGCCCTCGGGGGCAACACCAGCTGACAAGGTCCAGTGCATTGAGCGGGAGTGCCGGAATACACTTCGGGAGCCAGGAAAACAACTTCTGGATCATCATCTGGCCTGCAAATGGTTAGACTGATTGAATGGGAGAGATTCTGAAATACTTACCCTCCTGAGCCAGGAACTTGGAAATCAATAGACCAAATCATGGTGCCACCGAAGCAAAGGCCATCAGCAAAGGCCCTCTTTGCTGCAAATGTCTC